ATTTTTTGTTTCCGTTAGTTAAGCCATTGTAAAGTTTCTCTAATTTTCTACTTAAAGGGAAACTATAATGCCAGAACAACAATGTTTTTTTCCTGTCCCTATAATGCCCTCCTCCCCTGTCACTTACCTGATTCCCGCGCTGATGTCTCTGGGTGCTGGTTCAGGCTCCACCTGCGCTCCTCCCCTGCTGAAGTCAACTGGCGGAAGAGAAATAATGTGCATGTGCAATGGCCGTGTTTGCATTAGTACTTCTCCCGAAGGAGAGCATTATACAATACTTTCCTATGGGGTTTCGGGTAACACTGAATGTCCTCATGCATAGCGAGGTGACCAAAATCGCCTAACAAGCCAGAAATTCCACTAGTGACTGTGTGGTAGACAGCCACTAGAGGTGGAGTTATCTCTGAAAGGTAATTATTGCAGTTTATACCTTTGCAGGGTTAAGGGACCTGGGACACTGCACACAGACCACTTCATTGAGCTGAAATAGTCTGGGATCCTTTAGTGCCCATTTAATTTAGATAAGCTTATGTGTTGTGTGAAGGGCCATGTGCTTTTTCCTTACAACACTGCTAATGTGTGACTTGTTGGGGAGGCTAGGCACAGTTAGGTAACAATTTGCAGACAGACATATACATACATAATGATATACAGATATACATAATGACATACAGACATACATGCACATAGACACACACACACACACACACACACACAGAGCTCATTTTCCAGCCACCCTCCTGTCTCTTACCTTTTCTTTGCAGGGGGGTGGCTGGGGCTGATAGGAGTCGGCTGGCTCTCCCTCTTCATGGCCTGGCTGGCGGTCCTCCTGCGCTGGGAGGAAGTGACCACTTGCTGCGTATTTTTTTTTTTTAGGGGCCCGGTCTCGCTATTACACGGCCACAGCGCTGACCGGGCCCCTGAAGATATAGGGCCCATCGGGTGGCCCTAAGTGCGTGGGCCACCCGATGGGCCCCATCAGCGTGCGGGCCCCGGTGCAACTGCACCGGCAGCAGTTCCGCTGCTACACGTGGGGCCCGAGCGGCCTGGCCCCCCAGGGTCGCCGGGCCCATGACAACCGTCATGGTTGTCACCCCCTGATGGCGGCCCTGAGTACAAATCTTTACCTGGCAGGTAATTCCAGTGCCACATGAAGCCTTAGCTCTAGATTTCCTGTATACATCTGTAACCAGAACGAACCAGTGAACATTTTTAAGTTAGATATTAATAGACTGTGATATAAATAGGAAAAGCTTTTGAAAATACATACTTCAGGACAGCATATTCACAAAAATGAATGTGTAAGAAATTGATATTCCAGACTGCAATATTGTATATAACTTTCTGTGTATGTGACTGGTTTCACAAGTTGGGGTCATTTACTTGATAACAGTGTGATAAGGATCAAAGCTTTCAGTTGCATTTTACAACACCCAGCTAAAACAAAAGCTTACATCCCTCCAGTATTCCTTGTATGTTATCAGGAGATCAGAGTAATAGACATCTAGGTGTAACCATGGAAGTGTGTGTTTTCCCAAGCAGTCCAATCTACCAAGAAACCTAATCAACTGGTCTTTCACAAAGTTGCAGTATGGCTGGAGGGAAGAGATCAAAGGGAAAGACTTGTGTAAAGACAGAACTCTCAGGAGAAAGAGGGCGGGATAAACCACTTTTGGGAAGGAAAAGGGATTCTGGGACTTGTAGTTTATTACTCCAAGAATCAGTCTTTAAAAGGACAACAACCAAGGAAGGCTCTCTCTTTTCTCTCTCTCTTTGGAGAGGACAACGCAGCAAGCAGGGCCATGGTGAACTAAGAGAGGCTGTCCCAGATTACCCAAGATGAAGGCGCAAGGGGAAGACCTGCATTTAAATGTTTAAGTATTGCCTTTTTATTATGTAGCTTTTGATTATGTACCGGATATAATGTATAATGTATATTGTGTATATCCTTTTAAAATCTAACAGTATCCTTAAATGAATATTTACAATACATTTTATTATACACTTGTGTTTATGTCTTATTTGTCACACATTCCCTAAAAGAATATCCTTGTAAGAGGGTCATAATTTCTTACAAATTGGCGAGCCGAGGTAGGAGGGATTTAGTGTGATTTATAAGCATATTCATAATTGTATAGATTGTATATTTACTTTTGGATACTGTTCAGATATTGTGTATAGATATTTCAGTGAATTGTGCGTTGTCAATGATGGAGAGTTTATTGAAAAAGATTGCTAAGGTGTCTAATCCAGAAGCAATAATTAAATGTATGGATGGTGCATTAGATCCGTGGCTTAATGCTCAGGATTATGTGGCCAGGGCAATTATTGAAAATAAATTGTCCAAATCTAGTGCTAAAATTGCCTTGATTTATGCTGCCCGTTGGATTGCGGAGAATTATAAATCTTTAAATAGGCAAAAAGAGAAATTAGAGGCAGACATTTTGAGTTTAAAGAATGAAGTGGAAGGTTTTAAACTGTCTGCGCAAAATGCTGCTGCTTTGTGTGTAGGTAGTCAGCAAATGCATCTTGAAAATGAGGAATTGCACAGTTGTAATGAGCAGCTTGTAGAAAGGCTGAAGGATGCAGAGGGTGCTATTAGAATCTTTGCTTCCAGCAGCCAGAAAGAGGCTGATCATTCTGTGTGCCTTAAAGAAATTGATGATTTAAAATGTAAACTAAGAAAAAGAAATGGTTTTGCTGCTACTAAATATGGGCTGAAAACCAATTGTGGAGGTTTGTGTACAACAAAGATGGAGGTGTTTCATAATAATTATAGTAATTGTGAGTGCAGTATTCCTGCTAAAATGGCACCAGTCTCTACAGAGCACATGGTGGATGCACAGGGAAATGTACTACATGAAACTACTGTGACCCATTCCTTAAAACATACAGAGGTTATTGCACTGAGCAAAGAACTGGGATGTATACGCTTGGATGATGATCCAGTAGATGTTATGTTAAAAATTGATCAATTTGAAAAAATCCACAGGAACTTAAATGAATTAGATATTTTTGATGTTATAATTGCTAGTACAGACCAGTCACTAAGAGCAAGTCTGCCACATGAGATATTTATAGAACCTAGAACCAAGCAACAACTTATCAAAGAGTTATTAAACACACTTGGTCTAGAGGAAATAAATCATCATTTTGCTTTTGGTAATTGTGCTCAGAAGAGAGGGGAGTCTGTTCAAGGGTTTGTAAATAGGTTATTTGTTTTATTCAAACTGACTGTTCCACCTGGAGCACATGCTGATCAGAATGAATATGCATATAAGAAAGCATTACTTAATAGGACACTGCCAGATATTCGAGAGTTAATTGGTTTAACTGTGTCCCCACAGGACACCTTTGTAAATATACGGAATTGCTTAAAAAGGGCTGAAGCAATTTTACTAAATCAAGAAAAAGTAAATAAAAGACAAGTGTCATTGATACAAAGTCCCCAACCTCACAGATATATCAATCAGAGAAAGTCCCCACATATAAAATCCATTACATGTTTTAGGTGTGGTAGGATGGGACATATTGAAAAATTTTGTAAATCAGATGTGCATATTCATCATGAAAGGCCCATGTGTGATAGATGGACTCTGGGAAATAAAGATAATCAGCCTAGGTGGAGATCCCAGAGAAAAGATAATAATGGTATCTCCCTCACAAGACCTTGGATTCCCTACCATGTGCTTAAAGCACAGAATACACAACTAAAGGCAGAAAATCTTTCTCTTACATGTGAACGTAATGAGTTCCTTGAAAAACTGGATTGTCTCAAGGCACAATTAAGTAGATTAGAGGATATGGTTAACACAAAGAATCTGATAATAGATACAGTTTTTCTTGAATGACCTATTCTAGTTGTGTGTTATTAACTTTCTCTTGAAGTTTGTTTTTTAGAAAACTACGGAGATGATGCCAATTGAGAAGGAAGACAAATATCTGTGAGAAGACCAACCATTTAACATGTTTATTTATTTCAGGAAAAATACAGTTCCAGTTTATAGAGGACCTTAATATGTAGTTTTATGATATTTTATTTCATATTAAGGATAAGCCTCTAAACTCATTCATTACAGTCAGGTGGTCCAAATTCCAAATTATTTTTGTTTTTATTAGTTTAGCACACCTGCACTTCCAGCTATGTTTTATTTTTGTATTTTGATACTGGATTACTAATTTTATATATTTCTAGATTAGATGAATTGTTGCCAAGGTGAGGCTTATACGTTGATCACACTGGAGAGATGTGATAGTGTAACTGTCTGTTGGTTTACAACAGTAAATATTTTAGTTTTTGTCTTTTTTTCATTTGGTTACCAACACAAATAGCCTCAAGCCGATTTTTGATTTTAATCTTTGAAAGGCAACAGACCATTGTCAGTTTTCTTTAGATTGCACGCTGCCAAACTTTGTATACAGTTCAATGACTGAAGGTAATGGTAGCATTCAATCTACTTTTTTCTCTCTCCATCTTCTTTGATTTTGTTGTTTTCTTATGCTTTTTATTGTATTTCACACTCTAAAGGGAATATAGGGGAAACAGATAATTGCATATATTTTACATTTCCTTGGGTCAAGGTTGGGTGAACAATAGAATGATAATGGTTATTCTATGTTTGTTTTTGTTTTAATTTATACTCTCAAGGTGGGGTATAGCATATAGACAAATTAGACCAGTTTGTATATTTTATATTGTTTTTGAGTCAAGGTGGGGTGAGCGACAATATATGATTTTGCATTTTCTATTTGCTCTATTTGGTTTTCCACAAGGGGTTAAATATTTATGGTTTTAGTAAGGTTATAGTAAATTATTTCATACTGTTATGAGGACGTATCCCTTAGTACACATTGATATTGGTTGCATTTTGCTCACATTTGTGTTTACAATGTTTTAGATGACCACTTGTGAATCCAGACGGTAGTACTGAGACAAGGATGATAATCAAACCACTAGTGATTTGCATAATGTAACACTGCACACTTTCTGTGCTAAGAATCTTTTAATTTCCGGAAGCCAAGGGCCTATCGAAAACTTATTAAACATCCTCAAGGGCTCAAACACAAACCCACTCCACCTATACAAACGTGCACAAACACCTTCACTCAGATCCCCACTCCAAACAATAAACTGTGTTTCTCCCTTGTGTGGTCTCTTTAATACACTATGTAAGTGAACAGCAAATTAACTGCTGTGGGTGTGAAAATACACCAGGTGTCATGGTGGGCAGAGGTCAGAGGCCTAATAGCCCAAAGTAAGCACGGCCAGGGTTAAAGGAACAGTGTGGTGGAAGCAGTGCTGGTGGCACAGGTAATTGAGCGTGATGGGAGTGAAATCTAATGGTTGCAGTGATGCTGAGCCTATGAGGGTAATGAAAGGTTACGGATATGGCTGAAGGAGTTCAAATTAATGGTGAAAAATGATAACTGTAAGTGCCTGAATGATTTGGCTAAATTATGCCTTGCAGTTCCCTAAATTATAAATATATGTGGTTGTCAAGTCATTTGTGTCTCAGTAAAACACATAATCATTTAAAACACACATAATTCAAATACTGTATTTCTTTGAGAGGGCTCATTTTCTTGTTGAGTCATTCGCCCTCTAGGTGGGGACTGTAAGAAATTGATATTCCAAACTGCAATATTGTATATAACTTTCTGTGTATGTGACTGGTTTCACAAGTTGGGGGTCATTTACTTGATAACAGTGTGATAAGGATCAAAGCTTTCAGTTGCATTTTACAACACCCAGCTAAAACAAAAGCTTACATCCCTCCAGTATTCCTTGCATGTTATCAGGAGATCAGAGTAATAGACATCTAGGTGTAACCATGGAAGTGTGTGTTTTCCCAAGCAGTCCAATCTACCAAGAAACCTAATCAACTGGTCTTTCACAAAGTTACAGTATAGCTGGAGGGAAGAGATCAAAGGGAAAGACTTGTGTAAAGACAGAACTCTCTGGAGAAAGAGGGCGGGATAAACCACTTTTGGGAGGGAAAAGGGATTCTGGGACTTGTAGTTTATTACTCCAAGAATCAGTCTTTAAAAGGACAACAACCAAGGAAGGCTCTCTCTCTTTCTCTCTCTCTTTGGAGAGGACAACGCAGCAAGCAGGGCCATGGTGAACTAAGAGAGGCTGTCCCAGATTACCCAAGATGAAGGCGCAAGGGGAAGACCTGCATTTAAATGTTTAAGTATTGCCTTTTTATTATGTAGCTTTTGATTATGTACCGGATATAATGTATAATGTATATTGTGTATATCCTTTTAAAATCTAACAGTATCCTTAAATGAATATTTACAATACATTTTATTATACACTTGTGTTTATGTCTTATTTGTCACACATTCCCTAAAAGAATATCCTTGTAAGAGGGTCATAATTTCTTACAAATGTAGACTTATGCCAAAAGTTTAACAAAAGCACAATAAAAGCATTCAAACCTATTTGTAGTAAAATGCTATGTTTTATTATATTGGGTGAGCAAAAAGAAGAAAGAAGAGATAGGCAGGGAATCTGCTGGATGGTAATGCAACAAAAGTACACTGAAAACCAAAAGGAACCCATCCAGCTATTTGAGAGATATCAAGATAGTAAGGTTCTCCATCGCTACTATTTTGCCTATTCTCATGATCCTACTTTTCTTTGCCTCCCTTTTTTCTTTCCTTCTTTTCATCTATCACTATGTCTCCTTCCTCTTTCCTTATAATGCTACTTGTTCAGTCTGAGGGCAACCATGAGAAAGGTAGTCAGCACACTTCTGTTCAGAATCTAATATATCCCTTAGACTAAGCTTATATTTCTATAATCAGTCTAGATTCCAAAATAATAACAAAATAGATATCACACCTTAAGGATCATGATATTGTATAAATGTATAACTTCATAAGCAAAACCTATTTTGATATGTGCCAGTTCAACAAAAATGTTCTTCTTTTGTATTAAGTGAATACATACTTTTTGCATAAAATATCTTTGCAACTAGCGCAGCCAAAAGATCAATAGTTAAGTGTTCTTGCATAGCAAGACCACTTAATGTTATCTCACATATATATTATTCTTATTATAGCCAAATTTACCACCCTAACTCCTCCCACAGTTTTTACACTACATAGACAGTAATATACCGAAACCTGCAGATTGTTCCCGATTGGATTGCTATTACTTTGTGGATGTTTCGCCGAATGGTTCATGGAATATCGTCGTTCTTGTGGCAAAATTGGTCCCATAGGAATGAATGGCAAAATGTTCAAAGCTAGAGTGGGAGCTGGCAAAAGCTGAAAAATCAGAACATGATTTCTAAACTGCCACCACTCCCTCATTTTCAAGCCCAACTACACAAATCTTATATCAAAACGTTCAGCTATCCCTGCTGCCACAAAAAATGTCCATGGCTAAGCCAAAGTCCTGATAGTTTTCACAATATGGCCATTTGTTTGCAACTCATGCCGTCCATTGACATTCATTGAAACTCCACACAGCTTCAAATTTGAAGGGCAATTTCTAAACTGCGACTGTGCCTTCATTTTTAATACTCCAGAGACATACTATGCATCAAAATGTAGGTCTGGGTCTTGTGATTCTCACAATATAAATGCATTTCTCACTCTATCAAGTTTGCCATGTGCACTTTTTTAAATTTGATCAATCAATTGATTAGTTTAATGTTTACTATCTTTACTCACTCCAAACACTCCACACAGTTACTCTGCCCACTCCAGTTCTAGACGACAGGTGGAGGCAAGAACACTTCACACAATTTCACCAGAAATTGTATCTTTTCTAGTTAAGTGTTCTTGCATAGCAAGACCACTTAATGTTATCTCACATATATATTATTCTTAATATAGCCAAATTTACCACCCTAACTCCTCCCACAGTTTTTACACTACATAGACAGTAATATACTGAAACGTGGAGATTGTTCCCGATTGGATTGCTACTACTTTGTGGAACATTTCGCCGATTGGTTCACGGAATATCGTTGTTCTTGTGACGAAATAGGTCCCATAGAAATTAATGGCAAAATGTTCAAAACTAGAGTGGGAGCTGGCAAAAGCTGAAATCAGGACATAGAAACATAGAATGTGACGGCAGATAAGAACCATTCGGCCCATCTAGTCTGCCCAATTTTCTAAATACTTTCATTAGTCCCTGGCCTTATCTTATAGTTAGGATAGCCTTATGCCTATCCCACGCATGCTTAAACTCCTTTACTGTGTTAACCTCTACCACTTCAGCTGGAAGGCTATTCCATGCATCCACTACCCTCTCAGTAAAGTAATACTTCCTGATATTATTTTTTAAACCTTTGTCCCTCTAATTTAAGCATATGTCCTCTTGTTGTGGTAGTTTTTCTTCTTTTAAATATAGTCTCCTCCTTTACTGTGTTGATTCCCTTTATGTATTTAAATGTTTCTATCATATCCCCCCTGTCTTGTCTTTCCTCCAAGCTATACATGTTAAAATCCTTTAACCTTTCCTGGTAAGTTGTATCCTGCAATCCATGAACCAGTTTAGTAGCCCTTCTCTGAACCCTCTCTAAGGTATCAATATCCTTCTGAAGATATGGTCTCCAGTACTGTGAACAATACTCCAAGTGAGGTCTCACCAGTGTTCTAAATGATTTCTAAACTGCCACCACTCCCTCATTTTCAAGCCCACCTACACAAATCTTATATCAAAACGTTCAGCTATCCCTGCTGCCACTAAAAATGTCCACAGCTAAGCCATAGTCCTGATAGTTTTCACAATATGACCATTTGTTTGCAACTCACGCCGTCCATTGACATTCATTGAAACTTCACTCTAGCCAGCTCAAACTTGAAGGGCAATTTCTAAACTGCAACTGTGCCTTCATTTTTAATACTTCAGAGACATACTATGCATCAACACAATATAAAGCTCTTCACTGTAGGATGTATAGTTTTAAAAATACTACCGTTGGAAGATGGCAACCGCCAAAATACTCTGACCTGTGCCAGGCTGCAGCAGCAAGTGATGTCATAGACAGGGCCTTTTGTACACCTGCTAAAGTTTTTATAAATGTATGTTTTAATGTAACTGTGAAGCACTTTGGGCAACAACGTTGCAATTAAATGTGCTATATAAATAAATAAAAGTTGAAATGCATTTCTCACTCTATTAAGTGCACTTTTTAAATTTGATCAATCAATTGGTTAGTGTAATGTTTACTATCTTTACTCATTCCAAACACTCCACAAAGTTACTCTGCCCAGTCCAACCTTTCCACAGTTACTCCAGCCACTCCAACCACACAACAGTTACTCAAGCCACTCCACCCACTCCAGTTGTAGACTACTGGTGGAGGCAAGAACACTTCACACAATTTCCCAAGAAATTTTTAGTGGCAGCAGGGATAGCTGAACATTTTGATATAAGATTTGTGTAGGTGGGCTTGAAAATGAGTGAGTGGTGGCAGTTTAGAAATCATGTCCTGATTTTTCAGCTTTTGCCAGCTCCCACTCTAGTTTTGAACATTTTGCCATTCATTCCTATGGGACCATTTTCACCACAAGAACGACGATATTCCGTGAACCATTCGGCGAAACGTTCCACAAAGTAATAGCACACCAATCGGGAACAATCTGCACGTTTCGGTATATTACTGTCTATGTAGTGTAAAAACTGTGGGAGGAGTTAGGGTGGTAAATTTGGCTATAATAAGAATAATAATAATATATATGTGAGATAACATTAACCCCTTAAGGACACATGACATGTGTGACATGTCATGATTCCCTTTTATTCCAGAAGTTTGGTCCTTAAGGGGTTAAGTGGTCTTGCTATGCAAGAACACTTAATTAATTAGTTATTGATACATTAAACCAACCAAGAGAGAAGAGAAAAAGAAAATTATGCAGGGATATTTATTAAACTTGGAATTGTGGAGAATTGACAAAGGATTGCAAATATTAGACCAAATAGCCAACTTGGAAAATTACGTCCGTTGCAGGATATTTATTTGAAAACTTTATTTTATGTTTGTTAATTATTACTGCTGTATATGTAGATATAACTGTTTTCATGACAGGCAGAATAACTATTATATCATTCCTTCTGCCATCATATCACACGTGTGTTTACTGAAACGCATAATACAATTCAGTAAGGATACACTGGCAATATGTGTAACCTTATGATTAGTATGATATTATCAATTTTAATACGTATACCATTGTTTGCATTAGTAATGCATTTATATATCGATAAAGAAAGGTGGTTGGAAACAAACTGATTCACTTTCTAGGAATTGCTATATTAGGTATATATATATACACGCTCGGTAGAGTGCTCCACTTTGCTATACTCATTAATTACGGTGTCATGCCATGTCTGCCAGTCTATCTCTCTGACCTTTGAAAGAAGAATCTCTCTACTTGCTGATCCAGTAGTCAAGGTATCTAAACAACATTCTTATGTCAGGGCAATCTTTATTTAGAATTTTGTTTGTAAGCAGCCGCACCATCAATATTCCAAACTGT